CATCACTTCCGCATTCTCGTGTCACTCTCCAGCTTCAGATGCTGGAGAGAAGCTGATGAAGCAGATCTCTGCTTCATCAGCTTCTTCAGGGGGGTCCTAGGTGACATTAGGGGTCTTGGAGACCCCTGATGTCTCCATAAAAGAGGACCTGTCACCTCTTTTGCTATTACATAGAGGGGTTTCTCAACCCCCTCTGTGATAGCAATAAATTTAAGTGAAAAAAATAGGGGAAAAAAATGTTGTTTCCCCCCAAATTTTTTAACAGTTACACATTAAAAAAAATTAATGTTTTTTTAAATTCTTTTTTAAATCCGCACCCTTACATACACGCATGTAAACATGCGTCAGGTGTGCATACCTGAGAAAACAACGATTGCGCCCATTACGCCGCACGTTACATATCACCGCGAACGTCGCAGTGAGAGCAATAGTTCTAGGGCCATCAATCACTGATAACACTAAACTGATGAGCTGTAAAAGCTTTTAAAGCGTCGCCTATGGCCAATTTTGGGTATGCTATTTTTTTGCGATTTCGCGAGTGCGCGCAATTTTTAAGCTTGACATGTTTGGTGTCTATTTACCGGACGTGACCCCGTCTTTTATATTTTAACAAAAAACTGGGTAATATTAGTCGTTTTATAACATAATGTTAAAAAAAACTTTTTTTTCACAATTTTCAGTAATTTCTCCTGAATATAGTAAAAAATAAAAACCCCAGTGGTGATTAAATACCACCAAAAGAAAGCTCTATGTGTCCCCAAAAAAATGGTATAAAATTCATTTCAGTACAGCGTTGCATGACGGAATAAATGTCAGTCAAAGTACTGCAGCGCTGAACACTGAAAAATGGCCTGGCCAGGAAGGGGGTCTAAACACCTGGTCTTCAAGCGGTTAAAAACACTGGCAGGCTATCCCCGCCCGTGTACCATTGGGGAAATTCCTCTTCCTTTCCCTGAAATGCAACAGGAATTCTCCCAAAGTTCAGGGGATTCCCTGTTATTGGAGGGTGCCCTCTTACCTCTTGGATAACGCTTATCTCTTAGATTGTGCCTCATTTTCTGTTTCAGTGATAACAGTCACCAGATGAAATAGAGGGGTCAATCTACTCAAAGCATACAAAGACAGCAATAAAAACTTGACAGAGGTTCTGACTCTTTCCCTCTCTATCCAAAACAAAAAAACTTTAATCATTCCCTAAAGACAGACTGTCAATCATTCAAAAATACTCAAGCAATCACTTTGTCCTTGAAATAGAACAAAACAATACAACATTTGTGATCTTTACTCACAGCAAGCAAGTGTACACTGTGGTTATGCCCCAGTCAGAGAAGACTATTCGCTCCAATATCGTCTTTATATGTGCTAGACGTCATGCCGTGCCGCAGGAACTAATAAGAGAATAATGACTGTTCCTGGGTGCGAATCAATTTTACTTCCGCTTCATCAGACTATGTACTGCATATAGCCCCATCATTGACTACAACTTCCGGCTTATTCCACACATGTGACGAGCCACCTCACTCTCCCCCTCCCTGGCTGACAGCTAACCAGTTTTTATGCCAGACAGCTGACGTGTCACAAGTCTGGCCTACTAAATAAAACTAGCAATAATAGTCGTGAACGAAGGCGCCATAACTGAGGAGACATTTGCTATAAGACGTTAATAACTCTGTCTTCGACAAAATGGCTGCCTCCCCAACCATGAGACCAAAGAGCGGAAGGCGACGTGGACTAAATAGGGCGTAGAACAGAAAAACTACGCCAACCTTATGAATGCGAATAGAGAGCCTGATTGGTTAATGTAATAGTTTCCTGTGACGTAGGAGGTCTTTACAGCATTGAAGTGACGCTGCCTTCCCATTTTTTCCCGGAGCCGAGTGGGATATTCAGCTGCTTACAGGTCTCATTTATCTTTCATCAAAATGGTAAGCTGGGGGTTTACCTTGATTTGTCTTATTAGTCTATGCAGTGCTCTGGTAAAGTAGTCGCGATATCTGTTTGGGATCAGGACTTCGGATATAGTGTTTTACTGAATGAATGCAGCAGCCCTCAGTATACTATGGGGTGATTCAATAAAGCATTTGTGACACTTTTCTGGCGTTCTATTAGAAAGTCATGCGTCAAATTCAGGAAAGCAGCCTGGCAGTTTTTGTGCTACTTCTGACGCGTGTGACAAATTCAGGTAGTTCTCATGTGTGACGATTTACATTCTGCTGACATGACTGAGACAAATTCATTAAGATCAACAGTGGGTAACTGTGGGCACAGCGTTCCGTTTTAGGTTTTTCTTATTTATTTTTTTCCTCTTATTTCTATAGGTTGAACTCGATGGACTTGTCTCTTTTTTTCAACCTGACTAACTATGTAGCTAAGAAATATGGCCATATCAGTGATAGAAAAAGGAGTCAAATCCATCCTTTTCTACGACAGAGTAAATTGTGTCGCATGAGGCAATGCGACAGCAGATTAATCTACATCTTACCAAAAGTGACATGAATTTGTCGCAAGTTGTGAGGACTGGAGATGGATTTCTAATCAGTGTCCATGACGATGTTTATGAATCCCAGCGCTAGGCACAATGCATCTAGCATGAGGTACTGTGTGATAGCTTGTGCTAAATACATAGATCCCATGCATTTAGCGCTTCACTATGGTGTTAACAGGCTAAAAATCTGTGTTGTCAAAGACAACCTCATAACTTCACATTCTGCTGACTGTATACTTGGCAGTTTTGGAGCTGGATCTATAGTAGCATGCTGACTCCTGAACATTTCTGCGTTAATGGAACATATATGAGTGTAATTAATGGTCATAATTACTTACCTTTTTAGTTCAATGTAGAAACTGTTTCACCCGTTATTTCCAGTTTTAGAAATATTGTGCGTCTTGTCTAATAAGCATATGAAAAGCTTGATCTATGATTCTGCATTAGTGGCTTTTATAAATTAATTCAATCTGTGCACATTCTATATTTCAGCCTGGCCCTGCTGCAACCTCCACTAATGTTGGCGCCTCTGGTCGATCACCAAGTAAAGCAGTTTCCCCCAGAGCAGCAGGATCTACTGTGAGACAAAGGTAAGACAAACAACTTTCTAGGCTGAACACTAGATTATACATAAAGGCAGAATTTAGATTGGAACTTCTAAAAATCTTATTAAAAGGTTAAAATGATTGAAACCGAGCCCATCTAATCGATCAGCTATCAAATTCCAGAGACTTTACTACCCATTGAGGCTCTGGCATTTGACTGGTGAAAAACAGATAAGGCTTAAAGCGAACCTTTCATGTAAATGGAAGGTCTGTTTTACTTACCAGCCCGCACCCCACCTCAAAATACAAATGGCTTAAAAAGTTCAATGAAAATTAACGGCGCTAAGTTCACCATTAAAAGAAAAGTGTAGTCAAGAGGGTCCGGTAGGTAAACAAAAAAACTGCAACATTTGAATAATGTTGATTGTTGTAAATGAGATACCTGTAGGCCATCTATCTGTGCTCTGAGCTCAGCTGCTGCATAGGGAGAGAGAATACACTGTGTATGAATGGGGTTTTCCTGTGATGCTGTGGGTGAGCATCCAATGGCTGGAGTGTCCTACCGACAGAAGGAGGCAAAGCTATCTATGGGAGTTAACATTAATCAATATTTTTTTAAAGTTGCAAGATTGTATTGTTTTTCATATGTACTGGAGCCTCTTGACTGCAAAAGGAAATATTATTTGAAGTGTGAACTTGGCCTTTAACGTCCCAAAAAATATTAGATGGAAAAAAAAAAGCAACTTGGACTGGCTTCTGATGTTTTGGGAAAGGATGGGTGATGGCACTGGGCCTCCTGGAAAAGCTGGGCACTCAAAATCTAATAAGAATGCACTCCAGCACAGTGAATGCTACTATTGTTCCTAAGTACATTGTTTTTGTGATCTTTTCCCCCCAAACAAAAGAAAAACTACAAGCAGTGCTGCAAGAAGTTCTGCACGGGCCCCATCTGCTGGCACAGGAGGCATGTGGAGATTTTATACAGAGGACTCTCCAGGTCTTAAAGTGTAAGTGATTTAAACTGTAGTTTTCATGTTTCATTCCTTTTTCCATATTACTCAGTTCTATCAAAATATTCTTGCACCTGCAAAGTTGTTTTTTTTTGTTTTTGTTTTTGTTTTCTATCATTTTTAAAGCAGAACTCTGGGCAGATATAATCAAACTTAATTGTAGCGCTGTAATCATTATCACAGCACTTGCAGTATTCATGCTTTGGGTCACGTGAGGACGCTAGTTTATGTCCTCCCGTGACCCTTAGGAGAACTATGGGGAAAAACACTGACCCCATAGTTCTCCTTTAATGCAAAGCTAAAATAACGGCTGTGGGGAGAGGGGAGCAGGAGGTGCTACACACGCCCTGTGTACTTCATTGAGTTTTTGGGGGGCATGCGTAGCACACCCTGAGCAATATAACAGTTGGGCAGTGATCTTTCTGCATCTGCATTGGTTGTTATTAACAGTCACCTAAAGTGAAACTATAAAAAAAAACAAAAATTATTCTAAAAAAATGCAGGCAGGGAAAGAGGTTTTTTTTTTTTAGGTGGAAAAAACTTTACAAGTGTCATCTGCCCAAAAAAACTTTTTACTTGTCAGCAAGTTTTAGTTTTCTGAACACTGACCTTGGCGCATGTGCAGTACAGTGTACAGCCTTGACTCATTACCAGCATCTGTAAAATGCTGCAAATGAAGCTAGGTGCAGAGATAATGCAACTCTAGCATACATGCATATATAGGAGTTACATCATCAGTACCCATCCAATGGGCTCAGAAAAGGCTCCAGACTCGGAAGCAAATGGCAGCAATGGAGTGGAGCCAGGGAGCTCGGACCTCGCATTGCTGGAGGAGAGCACACCCAGAGGTATGTGTGCAATACTTCTACAAACTTCATATCTTCATTTCATAGCTGTTATGGTGACCAGGAACACCACTTACCATTCATTAATTAAGATCAAAGGTGTCTTGTTTATGCTGTTAAGCTAAGAACATAGTTCAGGGGTAGGCAGTCCTGGCACTCCATCTGTTGTAGAACTACAAATCCCATGATGCATTGCAAGTTTTTGACAGCCACATGCTCAACTTCCAGAGACATATGCCTGATGGGATTTGTAGTTGCCAAACAGCTGGAGTGCCAAGGTTGCCTACTCCTAACCGAAATTAAGGTTCCCTCTGCACAGGGAACCAAACCCAAGAACATTAATCTACATATTACAGATTGGAAGGGATTAAGCCAATACTGAGAACTTTTGCAATGCAGAACATGTGCTTATTTGGAGAGCACATGTAAAACTAAAAGTGCTGCATCATGTTGCTGTAATGTCACTTCCATCTTCCACCTCATAAGTTGTCTCTTATGCTTACTGCATCTTAATTTGTTACCATTTGTCTTTTTAGAGGGCCTGTTCCAGTACTGGTGATGAGTCTACTCTTCATTGCTTCTGTGTTCATGCTTCACATCTGGGGTAAATACACACGTTCCTAAATGTCTGCGCTCAAGACTGCTTTGGACCAAATAAGCTTTGGACTTCTTCAAAGAATTACCATCTTGCATTTTAGCGTAGACAGAACTTGTGGTTTCCTCAAACTTTTAAAATATGACTTCTTTTGTAAATAAAACCAACAAAAAAGAGCAAATGTTTTCTTCTGGTTTGTACAGAAATAAAGTGGCTGCTGTGAATTAGCATTTTGGATGATATATATTCAAAGGAATCGATTTGCATTGTTGTATAATTAGTTACTAATAAATACAAATAATATTACATTGTAAACAAATGAATAGAGCCTCGTGAGACTATTGAATAACGTATATTAATGTGTAGGATTATTCATTTTGTAAAATAATTTAATTGCAGATGCACTCTTTGGCAAAAATTAGTAGTGAAAGAGGGGAAAAAAATGTTCAGAAAGACAGAATTATCTAATAATATGGTATAGAGGTTTGTACAACCAGTATTCAATCTGGTGGTATTCTGTGATTTAAAAGCATGAGATAATAAAACAAATTGCAGTCACTAATAGTTTGAATCCCAATGTGAAGTGTTAACCTAGTAGGAGATTTTAGGACTATGTAAACTTTGACTCTGCCAATTAGGAGATATCAAGAGGTAGTGTTTATTGAACTGATAAGTTACTGGAAGAAGTTGGTTGCTGCATATTTAAAATAATCGCAGAATAATGGAACATTCTTGTTGGATTTCGGGCTCTTTTCAAGTTGCCAAATACAGCTACTACAATGAAAGCACTTAAAAGCTGAATTCCAGTTATAATACGTATTCAAGTCCAGCTTTGCCCAATGCAGCTTCCCTCCTGCTGTAGAAACACAGAGGGGGGGAATTTCTCAAAACTGGAGCAGATAATCTAGAGCAGTTGCCCATAGCAACCAATCAACTTCTGGAGAGAAGTTGATTGGTTGAGGTGCAGACAACTGCACCTCATTCGGTCTCCAGTTTTAATAAATTCAACCCAGAGAGTTGCTCTCTTAGCATAGCAGCCAGTCGGAGAACTCTTTATACGTTGATCCGTGAATACAAGGCATTCTGTGATTGGATGAGGGGCAGTGACATCACAATCCACCACTTGTGCAATCAGAAAACATCTGTATTCATTGAAAAATAGTATTCTCTGAATAGCTGCTGTGTTTAAAGTGATCTTAAGCCGTTGGGGTGTTTTTAATCCTACAGAGGAGATCCACTTGTACTTGTGTAGCTGGGGTTTTTTTTTCTTCCTATTTAATTTTAATTTTGTTTTAACCTGATGTACCGTGGCCCCCTACCCTCCTGTTTATGGGCGTCTCCTTTGCCTAGCAGGTTGCAAAGGAGACACCCATGCATACACGCTCGCGGACGGGAATGAGCTGTTCTGTGTGCGTTCACACAGCACTCAACAAACCACACCCTGTCCACGCCTCCTACCTTCTCTCAGTATCTCGATAGGCAGGTGCATAAGTCTATCACTGCCCTGCTCTCTGTAGACTTGGGATCCTTCCTCTCAACGCGCAACTTCAGGGCACACCGCAGATGGTCTGGGAGCCGATGGCTGTGCACATGGAATGGAGGGTGCTTTTTACCTTCATCCAGAAAAAATGCATAAAGGGGAAAAAATACAAATGGCCTTTAGTACTACTTTAAGTGAGCAACCCCTTACAGGTGGTGCAGAGATGTTAGTTTTACTTCTGTCTAATTGGGATTCTAACTGTCTGTTGACTCTTAAGTTCATAATGCATTTCAATAAATGACAGCATTCTAGTTTAAGACAAGTAATTTGAATACAAATACAATTGTAATCAAATTATTACCCCCTATCCCCAAAAGGTAAATACAAAATAGATTAAAAACCTTTTACATATCATCAATTTAGAGTTGACCATAAATATTTGCCCTAAAACTTTTCCTCTTACTGCGGTGTGCGAGGGGTTGTGCTATCTATAAGAACTAGCAGGGGCAGGATGAGAGCACCTAAACACACAGACCAATCATATTTTTCCACAGGTTTTCTGGGGAGCAGAATTTTTTTTGCACAGGGGTTGAACACGAATCAAGCATTAAACACATATGTGAAACAGCAAACTGATGCTGCAGAGACTCAACTTAAACAGGAACAGCTGTAGACTGCATTACAGGTCACTCTTGAAGACAGCAAACTGTGACGGCGGCACTTGGAAACATAACTGATAAATAAAAGCATCTAGGTCCTACATTCACCAAGTCATAATTTATTTCAGCAAATTGAAAGGGGGCAAGTTGATTAGAAAATTAAGCAATTAATAACATATTTCAAAACATTTTGGGGGAAAAAAAGATAAAATTTTGAAGTCCCAAAACTAAGATGTACGCTTACCACAAACCGCACTACTATTTTTAAGAATACCATGAAAATTTAAGTGGTATTAAAGTCAAAAGGCTATTTCAAATGCTGATTAAATCACTTACAATGAATGCTGCTCGTTGATGTTTAAAAAGTTTAGCTACCTGCAGAATCAGCTGGTCCTGATATCCTGTTTTATGGCAGCTCCTTTCCCTGCAGGGTCCTAAGGAGCCACCTTTGCGTGTGCTAGAAAGCAGTGTGTGTCTCAAAAATCACACAGGGAAGGCAAGGCGTTCTGCTCTCCACTCATCCTTCTTCCCTGCTCCCTTCTCCAAGCAAGTAGACAGCTGCTGGAGACTGTGCGGTCCCTTGTGATCTTGTACTGGACAGAAAGATTAGGGTAGTTGGAGCTGATGATGACTGTAAAGTTTTTTAAGAAAAACAGAGTTTATTACTACTTTCAGATCAAAATAGCTCCCAGTAAACCATAATCCACCAGTACAACTCCTATTAGCACTGTGTGACATTAAAGTAGTATTAAGCTCTAAACATTTTCAATGATATATCCAGATCAAACAAATATACATTGCACAGCACACTATTTGATTAGACAGTTTCTCTTCTGTTCATTGAAGGACACAGGAATCAGAATTATTTGTCTGGAATTCTTTTCTGTTTTCCTCCTTTTTTTTCACTGGATCTTCAAAGCAAGTTTCCACAGGGCGACATGCTGGATGATCGTGGATCCTTCTAGTCTGCCCTGTGCAAACGAGCGCATGCAGACACTGCCATGGTGGGTCGGCTGCGATGGCTCTGTTCTAACGGAGTGGCCTATGCGTTCGTCCCGATGGTGTGCATATGAGTGGGGGTCTCGACTTCCGAGTGACCGCACTCCATACAGGCTGGCGGCGCCTCGACTGCGGTCGGTGGTGTTTTTGTCCCCCCGCCTTGACTTCTGTGTTCTGCATCCCTGCGGAGTTTCCTGGGGTTGTCACCGCCCTCAAGTGGTGGAGGTTGGTATGTATGTGGGGACAAGGGTGCTTATGGTGGCAGTATTGCAGCTTCCGGGGCCCTGTTGTCTCCTGTGTGCTGCTTTGGCCGGCCTGTGTGGCAGACAGCTGGTACTTTAGGCCCCGGTCTCCTTGCAGCTTAGTGGAGGGGCTTGTGTGTGGGGATGTGGAGGGCCTGTAGTGAGGGTGCCGCAGCGCTGGAGGAGCTCCGTGGCTGCACCCCTGGTGTTTACTTTGGCTGGCCTGTGTGGCAGGCGGCCGCTACTTGAGTCTCCGGTCTATTGCGCGGCCTTGTGGAGCAGGCGTGGTCGCCATCTTCTGCTGCGTCACTTCCTCCTGGCTCGCAGGGCTGGCTCTGTTCATTGGCAGGCGGGAGGGGCAGCCCCTTGTGCCGGCGGAGGCGCCTTCGGCTAGCTGTGTGCTCTGCTGCTGGGGACACAGGCTCACGTGCTGTTGAGGACAATACTGGCGGTGACGGCTGCTGGGGCTCAAGGACGTGGAATGTGCTGGTGGTCGTAAGTACTGTTGGGGTCCCCCTCTGCCTGCTGCGGTCTCAGTAGTGTGGGCGGTGTGCCATGGACCACAGGGACAAGACGTCTGCAGTGCCTTGTGAGGGCTGTGGGATTCCTTCAGAGGATGCTTCCCGGTCCCCTCTATGTGCAGCCTGTACTCCTGCACCCCTTTGCCAGTCGCCATTGCCCTCCTTGGGGTCTTTGATGGGGGCCTCCTTCTCCTGCAGGTGGTGATATTACCCTACGGTACACAATCTTCTATCTGATTCCGGTGTCCTTCAATGAACGGAGAGAAAAGGATTTTATGGGGAGTACAAAAATCCTATTTTCCCAATCACATACTGTACAGTCATCATGCTTTTGAGTTTTGGCTCAGTATTATGATCATAGTATTATGATCTGTGTTACCACATTGTTCTACAAGGACCTCTTCATTTCTTTACATGGATCTCTAGAATGACATCTGGCCACGCAACTGGCAAAATATGACATCATTATTACGTCAGGGGGGAGGTAAAATGTGTTCTGATTGGATGTTGGGTTTGTGCTATGATGAATTTATTGTGAACACTTTGTTTGTACTTTTATCACTCTGTTTGCCTGATGAAGGGACCCTACAGGTTCCGAAACGTTGCTACACATGGTGATATTTCCTGCTATTTTGAATAAAAAGATTTGGCATTGAAGAACATCTGGATTGGATTTGAGAACTTGGTGGCACCATCCCTGGCCACTTCAGCACCCCCCAGCTATATATGGTGCTCTCGGTCAGGAGTGTGGTGAGATTCCCTATTGGACTGTTAGCAATAATAAAACCCTCCATTATTGAAGTCAGTGTCAGCAATAATAAAACTTCTTTCATTGGGTTTTTTTTGAGAGCGTCAGCAATCCCACCGCCACCACCCAGCCTTTTTTGGTTGCAAATTATGGTGATACACACACACAGACAACACACACATACAATAATAACCCCCCTTTATTGGTGTTCAATTTCTATAACAGAAATGAAATCCTACTTTATTGGTTTAAATGGCAGCATCAGTGGCAGTTATAAACCCCCTTTCACTTGTGTCAGTGGCAACAATAAATAATACAATACAACAATAAATACCTTCCCCCTTCATTAGTGTTCATTGAGAACAAAAGGGGAGGGAGTTGAGGAGGATAGAAAAGAAAAGGAAAAAAGGAGGGGGAGTTAGTATTTATAGGGAAAGAGAGCAGTTCCTGGGTGTATGTCTTAGCCGCATGGCAAAGCAAGCGTAGGAAGGTGATCCTTCACATAGGGCTCTATTTAGTTTGCCTG